AAAATCATGCTAGGCCTTTATTTTTCAGCTAGGTCTTCTTTTCAGGGGAATACGGTAGTTTTTGTGTGACTTCAGGTCACAGCAGTAAAAGGAAAGGAAGCCCAACAGCCTATCACCATCTCCTGGGTGGGAAAAAGTGATCTCATAAATCCCCCTTTCTTTCTACATTGCTAATAACGGAGTACCCACCAGTATCAGAGCTGAGGGAAACTACAGACCAGGTCATCGAATCCTTCCACTTACAGCAGGGAAACCAGCCCAAGGCAGGAATTACGATGCCCAAAGTTACCAAGTTAATTACATGGCAGAACTCAGTTGGAATAGTTTCTGACCTTCCGCCCTTGCGGAGCTGTTTATCGGGAGCTCCTTCTAAAAGTGGCTCCAACTAAACTTTACTGGGTTCTGGGTTGCTCCCCTCACTCTCTGGAGCTGGATTCCAGGTTCTTTTCATCTTAAACAAAGAACTGAATAAAATGAGCAAGTGGTCAAGTTTCTTTGAAAAATAAAAGTGGAGCTGGACATGGTGATGCACGCCTGTAATCCCAGCACTCGGGAGGCTGAGGCAGGAGGATCCTTGCGAGTTCGAGACCAGCCTGGGCTACAAAGTGAGCTCAAGGTCAGCCTGAACTGCATAGCAAGACCTTGTCTGAAAGACAAAAAAAAAGATACAAAAGTAAAAGTGAAGAGTGAGGGAGAATCTGGCTCTGCAGAGCAAGCTTGAGCAGAGTAAAAAAGCCGGGTGTGGTAGAATACACCTGTAATCCCAGCACTTGGGAGGCTGAGGCAGGAGGATCACCAAGAGTTTGAGGTCAGCCTGTGCTACACAGAGAAACCTTGTCTGCAAGTCAAAACAAAACAAAACTAAGAACACCCTAGAAAAAAACAGGGTGAGCTACCTTGAAAATATCAAGCTCTTCTTAGCATCTGTGTCCTTTTATTCTGTGCGAATCTTAAGGAAACCCACGAGAACTTGTGCATGCTGGTTGTGAGAGGCGGTGCTGGGATCCTAGGCCTCAGGCTGCAGTCATGCCCAGGCCGTCCTGTTGAAAACCTGCTGGAGTTCTCACAAGAAGTCCATATGCAGAGTGTTGGGAACTGATCTGCAGAATTAACAGGTCTACTTCCCTGGCCAGCTTTGCCCCAGCCTGATCTCCAAATCAATGCCTCCTGGATGACTGAATCGTAGACCAGCAAAGGGCCTGGTGTGGACATGTCTGTCTATAATCAAAACTGGGCCCTAAACTGGGCATGATGATGCACACCTATAATCCTAGCACTTGGGAGGCTGGGGCAGGAGGATCCCTGTGAGTTTGAGGCCAGCCTCGGCTACAGAGTGAGCTCAAAGCCAGCCTGGGCTATATAGCTAGACCCTGTCTCAAAAAAATGAAAAGGAAAGAAAGGAAGGAAGGAAAAAGAAAAATGAAGGAAAGAAGGTAGAGTGTACCAGCTCTCCACAGTGTCTTCTCTCTGGCCTTCTGAGATGCCAAGGAATCACATAGCCCCTGCTGCTTGCTCTGCCCCTCTGGACGGTGTTTGGTGTGTTTTGCTTCCTTTGGTGTGTTTGGCCTGGAAACCACACTTGCTTGGCTGGCTTCCTCAGTGTGCGCCTCAGTTTAAGAGCTCAGGGTGTGGTTTGCAGATGCAGGTATTTCATGCTGTAAGAAAACCCAGTACACCAATGTCAACATTACCAAAGCAAATTGGGGAGTGGCTGTTTGCATGACAGATGAACCTTGCAAAACAATTCACTTAAGGTTTGTTAAGCACATTTACAAATTTTAAACAAAATGCATTTACATATATTTGTTTATTAGATAATCTAATGTTCAATCCAACAGCCAATGAAAATCCTTCCCCCAGCCATGGTTCCCTTTCTCACCTGAGCCACTTTCCTGACCAGATTTTTGTGTCTCTGCAATCAAACTTCTCAAAAGCAAATGCTCCCTTGTGTAATCTTTTTCAAAAATAGTACCCCCGCCTGGCGTGGTGGCGCACACCTGTCATCCCAGTACTCGGGAGGCTGAGGCAGGAGGATCTTTGTGAGTTCCAGACCAGCCTGGGCTACAAAGTGAGCTCAAGGCCAGCCTGAACTGCATAGTGAGACCCTGTCTCAAAAAGACAAATAAATAAGTAAATAAAAAGCAGCATGTACATTTTAGTTTCAAAATACCCTGTTACAATTTATTTGTATTTGTGACCTTCCATTCACCACAATCATTTAATCTTAATGTCTACGCATCCAGGTTCGGGGCAGCTCAGTGGCAGAGTGTGTGCAGTGACTGTTGCGTTGTGTAGTGTTTCGTTTCATTTCGTTTTGTTTTCGATACTGGGCAGTGAACTCAGAGCGCTCAGGCTGAGCAGCTGAGCTATGTCCCCATCCTTTATTTATCACAATACTGGGGACTGAAACCAGGGCCTTTGCACTCAGCCTTCTTGGATTTTTTTTTTTTAAGACAGGGTCTCCCTAAAATGCTAAATTGCCCAGGATGGGCTCAAACCTGCCAGAGCTCTGGGATTACAAACGCGCACCACCACATCTGCAGCTTCAGCGCACAAAGTTACCGGAAGTGACGAAGCCCGCCCTCCCCTCCACGAACCTCGGCAGAGGCCCGGAGCTTCTCGAAGCGGCAAAGATCCGACAGACTAGGCCAGATGTGCGCCTGCGCGCTGCGCCTGCCCCTTCGCTCAGGCCGCGCCCCTTCAGGCGCCGCCCTACCAGGGGCGGCCGGATGTTCCGGTTTCACACATGCGCAGATGGCTCCCGCCCCAACCTCGCCCGCCCCCCTCCCACACGTGGGTGGCCCCAGAGACCGCGGGAACGTGCACTCCACCCCGAGCGTCGTCTTGTGGACGCGGCGGAGAGCGCCTGAGCCCAGTCCCTGAGCGTGAACTTCTTTAGTTCCGCCTTTCTTACTCCTGGGTGCCTCGCCCTGGCCCCCTAACCCGGCTGCGGTCCTTTGCCTGCAGGGTAGGAGCGGGGCGCACCCTGGCTCCAGGCAACCGGATGGAACCCAGAGACTCCACGCGGGACTGCAACCTCGGCCTTTTTTATTTTGAGATCGGGTTTTGCTACGTTGCCAAACTGTGCAGGCTGGGATCAAATTTCCAATCCTCCTGCCTCAGCCTCCCAGAATATGGGTTCTAGGTGTGGACCACTACACCCAGCACAGATGTGATGGTCCCTTAGGTGTGGTGTGAAGCGGGTGGAGAAGCCCTGCTGAGGACCAGGAGGGAAACACTGTCCTTAGCAAGGCGTCTGGCTTGTGTCTCCTTGACTAGGGCATAGCTGATGGACTGATCTCCTGGCCAGTTGAGTGGATAGTCAGGCTCACAGTACTCAATGTAGAGCAGAGATTATAGCCTGAGCTATATACCAAGTTCAAGGCCAGCCTGAACTACAGAGCAAGATTCTGTCTCAAAAAGACGAAAATGAATCAAGAACAAAAACCAAGTTAATATTTTTAGCTGGGAGCCAGGTGTAATGGCACACACCTGTAATCTCAGCACCCTGGAGGCTGAGGCAGGAGGATCCCCATGAGTTCAAGGACAACCAGGGCTATATGGCGATACCCTGTGTCCCAAAAAATAAAAATAAAAATCTGGTAAATGTTTAAATTTTTACAAATGTATTACAGAAAAAAAAATCATTGTTATGAATCCCCCTAAAAATCCTCCCCTTCAGTGAGAACCCCCTTATCCCATCCTTCTTGCCACTTTCTGCACCAGCTCTGGAGTTCTCTTTCTTTTTTTTTTCAGTTTTCATGACAATAAAATCATAAAATTGGGCTCATTTTCTTTCCTTTGTGGTATTTTAAGTTTATAAAATGTATATTTTTACAATAATATGGAGTCACAACCTCTGAGTACATTCGCTGTTGAAATATAATCTCTATTAAATGGAAACCTTCTAACGAAAGGTAGAATGGAACCTACAAAAAAATCTTTCCTGAGGACCCTTAGTTGCATCGCGGGGGCCTTGATGTCCTAAACTGACCCGAGATGTTTCCCATTCATGGTCATTTTGACTTCGGGGAAGAGCCGGAAGTCGCGCAGTGTCAGATCCGAGGGGTAAGTTGGGTGAGAGCACAGCATCTGTTTTTGCGTTTCTGCCTTTCTGCTGGGTGACACCCAGCAACGGCATTCACCATTTTTTTTTTTCCCAACAAAAAATAGTGGCAAGAACAATGAGATGAGTGTGTTCTAAGTGAGGGAGAGGATTTGAGAGGGATCATGGTAATGTGTCTCTTACAGT